CTCACTCTTGCTCAGGCTGGTCTCAAACTCCTGAGCTCAAACGATCCACCCGCCTCAGCCTCCCAGAGTGCTAGGATTACAGGCGTGAGCCACCACATCTAGCCAACATGGCTTCTTTGAGTGATCTTTATGATGTTTGAAGTTCTTGGGAATCTTATTCTGTTGTTTCTGTTGGCTCCCATGGTGCCTTGTTTTCTTATGTATTTTGTAAATTTGTGTTTTATTTTGTTTTTCTTTTCTTTTTGGAGACAGGGTCTTGCTCTGTCACCCAGGCTGAAGTGCAGTAACATAGCTCACTGCATTCTCAGTCTCCTGGGCTTAAGTGATCCTCCCACTTCTCAGCCTCCTAAGTAGCTGGGACTACAGGCATACACCACCACGCTCAACTAATTTTTTAAAATTTTTATGGAGACAGAGTCTCACTATGTTGCCCAGGCTGATCTCAAATTCCTGGCCTCAAGCAATCCTCCCACCTTGTCCTCCCAAAGTGTTAGGATTACAGGCATGAGCCACTGCACCTGGCTGTATTTTGTAAATATGACTCTAAGCTCATGTCTCAAGGTCTTGATAGAATTGGTTTCCAAGATATAATTCACCTTTTTAAAGTATGTAATTCAGTGGTTTTGGTATATTCACAGAACTGTATAACCACTACCACTGTTTGTTTCCAGAGTGTTTTCATCACCCCAAGAAGCCTGTTAGTTGTCATTCCTATTTCCCTTTCCCTCAGCCCCCTAGTCTACTTTCTCTCTCTGCGTTTGCCTGTTATGGACATTTCATATAAGTGAAATCATATAAAATATAGTCTTTTGTAACCAAGTTTTGTAAAATCACTTTTAGACATCATTTTTGTGGCTTTTATCCTTTGTGATACACATTTTCTGCTGACTGAGACACTTTGTGTTTGTAAGCTACTTAAATTTGGGATATTTAATTAAGCAGCAGTTGACATGAAACTTACATGTTTTGTTGAAAGTATGTTGAATCACCAAAGATGTATGTTGTATCCCAAAGATGGGATAATTTGTACATCAGAAATAATGAGTACAATGGATTGAAACACACTAAATATGTAATACTTCGTGAGTTCATAATTATGTTTAAAAATGTCCCCCCTGCAAATTGCATTGCTACTGAAAAATGTCATTTTCTGGGTAAATTTAGTGCTTTTGGATGTAGCAGTGATAAATGTAGACTTTTTTCTTATTGGGGGTGCTACTCACTGTCTTCATAATTAGTAGCCCACTGAACACCCAGCAAAGCCTTGATTTTAACATTTTGTTCTCAGATAATAACAATGTAGTAGATAGAAAGTATACTAATTATGTAGATAAACATGCTAGAAGGGATTAAAAAATTAAAAGGATGTGTAGCATTTCTTTTCAAGGTGTTTTTGTTGATAATTTTCAATTTCTAGTACCAAAGTAGTAATGATCTCAAGATAAAGTTGGCAGAACATTGGCTTATTTAGGAAAAAAAATTTACTTTTGTGTACTGACTTAATGTAAGCCAATTTTCATGAGATATATTAGTGAAGTAATTCCTAGGTTTAAAAAATTATCTGTAATTATGTATCACTTAATTTTTTTCAATTCTGATTTGACTTTTGATAAAATAATATATTTTATATCGATGTGGCTATTTATTCTTTTGATTGTTTTATTGCTAAGTGAGTTTTTATTTGTGTGCCTAAATCATCATTTGTTTATTCTGTCTTTCCAGGCCTTCTTGACAGTGTCATTTCAGTTATTCTTCATCCTAGCATGTCTGTTCGACTAGCAGCAGCTTGGTGTTTACACTGCATTGCTGTGGCATTACCTTCCTACCTAACACCTCTCTTAGATCGTTGCCTTGAACGTCTTACTGTACTTAAGTCTTCACCTGAAGCCATAACTGGCTTTAGTTTTGCTGTGGCAGCTTTGTTGGGAGCGGTGAAACATTGTCCTTTAGGAATTCCTCATGGAAAAGGCAAGGTAATGATTTCATTCTTTATATATGATAATAATGTTTCAGGTTTTTCCTAAAAACATCATAGTCTTTTTGTATATCACCCAAATCTGTGCAGGACGAATTTCTGAGCAGTCAGCTATACTACCCTTTTAAGTATTAAATATCATCAACATAATTGCTATGAAAAATGAAGGGATGGTTTAAAAATATTTTATGCACATTTTAATAAAGGAGTGCTTTCTGTGCTTTTTGATAGTGGTATCTCCATGTAATAACAGAATTTGTTCTTGAAGACTTTATTTTGCTATATAGCTAGCCCTGCCATGTAAGTACATTTAAAATTCAGTTGTAAAGAATAAATAGAGCTGCAAAAGAAATCTTAAATTTCATTTAAAAATTTTAGTGGTATTGTTGATATTAATTCAAAATTAGTTTACATATAGTAAGATAAAGTAGATAATTGTGTTATATTCTTAAGAACCAAGATTTTCCATTTAAGAAAAAAGAGCTATAGCTGTAGGATCAAGAAAGTTAAGTAAAAGACCCATATGTTAAACTTGAATTGAAATTATCAATATGAACTTATAATTTTGTGTTTTTCAAAATGCTTATGTCTTCATTCTGTCCAGTGAAAAGGCCTAAAAGCAGTGATGACCCAGTAGCAGGGAGTATTCCTAGTGCCCAGACTGTGGCCCCAAATACCATTTCCAACCAAAAAAGAATCAAGCTTCCATCGAGTAGTGGCTGGTTTCAGATCTGGGGCAGGAAAGGCACAATATAAGCTTGGGATATCTTATCATGCCAGAAATTAAGAAAGTCATCAAAAAATATTATGTTCATCTTCAAAGGAAGTAACTTAGGAGGCTCCCACTGACCAAAGATGGGATAATTTGTACTTCAAAAATAATGGCTACAGTGGATTGAAACACACTAAATATATAGTATTTCGTGAGTTCATAATTATATTAAAAAAAATGTCCCCCTTGCAAATTGCATTGCTACTGAAAAATGTCATTTTGGGGATAAATTAGTGCTTTTGGATGTAGAACTTCCAAACAAGTAAATAATACAAAACCTAGTGAATAAATAACCCAGTTTTAATGTACAAAGAATTTTGAAGAGAACTAAAGAAAAAATTTTTAATGAAACACTGAATATACAATATGGACAAAGCATAGTGTTGGAATTTTGTTTGTTTTTTAATAGCTAGGAATTATAAGTTGTCAGAGAATACTGTTTGACAGTGAAAGTCCTTGTAACCCATACCTCACACATATTTGAAAAAATAAAGCATAATAATTCTTTTTTTTCTCATTGTGACTCCTATGTCATTATTGAGTTTTCTAGTGTATCGTCCACAGTTTTAGCCTCTGCAATAGACCATTCCATAATGTCACCAATTCCAAAAATATTTCAGGTATTGCCACTGCCATTGGAATAAAGTAGTTGACAACTTTGGGAGGTGATATTATTCATTTAAATTCATTATTTTAATTATATTCTGAACTGAACTAACACATCACATCTTGCTAAGCAAAAAATTGTCATTGCATATATTTAATTAAACTTAATATCCTCAGATAACATTAATTCGAAGTTCCCATCTTCATATTATATTTGAAATTTCTTTCCGAGAAAATATCTACTTGTCCTGATTTGACTAGAGTGGTTTGTTTTGTCCTTTATTTGAGTGCTGTCTATTGACTGTATAGACAGCAGATAGTCCTAATTTAGTAGTAAATTGGTTTTTTTAAAAATACACTAGCCTGGCCGGGCATGGTGGCTCATGCCTGTAATCGTAGCACTTTGGGAGTCTGAGGCAGGAGGATCGCTTGAGGTCAGGAGTTCAAGACCAGCCTGAGCAGGAGTGAGACCTGGTCTCGAGAAAAAAAAAATAATAATTAATAAAAAAAATACCCTAGCCTTCTTCTTTAGAAAATGTATATGCCAGCTTATAATACTTGCTGCTTTTCAGAGGTGATTGGTAACACATGTTTTCTCTGACATATTAGATACTCCCTGGCCTGTGTGCTATATAAGCATACATTATCCATAAATGTGAAATATCTAGTTTTTCCTCTCTGTTGTTTTATAACCTTGCTCAGTTCATAGACTTTCGTAATGTAACATTTTAATGATCCTGCTTTTCAATGTGAGACACTTTTGGCTGTTTTTAGCCACTATAGTATACTGCCTCTGGGAAGACTGTTATTAGGTACTAAGGTATCAAAGTGGTACGTAGTAGAATTTTAAAAAGAGAGACTGCTATAAAGAAACTTTTTTTGGTAATTACTGGTCTAAAGGGATAGTTGCTTAAAACTAAAAGTAAATTCAAATTCTATACAGCTATACTTAAACAATCTTACAGTGTTGTCACATAAGCTGTACAAAGAACTATAGAGTTGCTGTATACTACCTAATATACTAGTATTTAATCTTGAAAACCTTATTTTTTATAGTTTCCTATATGACATTGCCCTATTATATAATCTATATCTGCGATCCCCAGACCCTGGGCCCCAGACTGGTATTGGCCCAAGTGGCCTATTAGGAATAGGGCTGCACAGCAGGAGGTGAGTGGCAGGCAGGCCAGCAAGGGAGGCTTCATCTGTATTTATAGCCGCTCCGCATCGCTCGCATCACCACCTGAGCTCCACCTCCTTTCAGATCAATGGGGGCATTAGATTCTCATAGGAGCGCAAACTCTACTGTAAACTGCGCATGCGAGGGATCTAGGTTGCGTGCTCCTTATAAGAAATGCCTGATGATCTGAGGTGGAGCTGAGGTGGTGATGCTAGCGCTGGGGAGTGGCTGCAAATACAGATTATCATGAGCAGAGAGATTTGACTGCACAATAAATGTAATGCACTTGAATCATCCTGAAGCTATCTCCCTGACCCCCCGTCTATGGAAGAATTGTCTTCCATGAAACTGGTCCCGGGTGCCAAAGAGGTTGGGGACTCACCAGTCTACATAAATGACAGTTCTTCGTCACATTTGTTTTACATAAGAGTTAATTTTTCAAGAGGTTATTATTAGTTGCTATCATTTGTTTAGTAATGTATGAACTGATATGCTTTTTTTTTTTTTACCTTGTTCTTCTATGCATAAATAGATTATTATGACATTAGCAGAGGATTTACTGTGTTCTGCTACTCAAAACAGTCGTCTTTCAGCTCAACGCACACAGGCTGGATGGTTGCTGATTGCTGCTCTGATGACATTAGGTAACGGTCTTGTGGAAGGTTTACATAATTTGAAATACTTTGTGTTTTCTGAATGGAAGAATTCTTATATGTGATTTGATGAGACTAACTTTTAATATGTACCAGAATTTAAATAGCCAACAAACAAGTTTCTTCTAGTAGTCAGTCACCTTAAGAAGCCATTTACTTTCTTCATTTCTTAAAACATTTTCATGTCTCTCTTTTGAATTTCTCTTCCGGACCAGTTTGTAAGCCTCAAGTAGGATAAGCCAATTTAATCATCTTTCAGGCTTAACCCTCAATGACTCTGGTGTTTCCAAAAATCATTCGTATCTGTCTTCAGGAAAAAAATCTTTCCACAATATAAGGATAGGCAAGAGAACATACCATAGTTTGTGAATCCAATTCTGTAATTGTTTTCAGGGTCAATAAGGTTGCTATGTTGAAGGGCGTGGGGCTCATTTAAATTGTGTTTCTTAAAAATCAGTAATTAGCCTGGGCATGGTGGCTCGCACCTGTAATCCTAGCACTCTGGGAGGCCAAGGCCGGAGGATTGCTTGAGCTTAGGAGTTCAAGACCAGCCTGAGCAAGAATGAGACTCCATCTCTACTAAAAATAGAAAAATTAGCCAGGCATTGTGGTGCATGCCTATAGTCCCAGCTATTCGGAAGGCTGAGGCAGGAGGATCGCTTGAGCCCAGGAGTTTGAGGATGTAGTAAGCTCTGGTGACACCACTCTACCCAGGGTGACAGCATAAGACTGTCTCAAAACAAAACCACAGAAAAAAGGTAACTGAACTCCCCTTCTCACTCCCCACCTTTTTATAATTTAAAAAAAATTGGCAATTGTTTTATGGTTATGACTATTTACATCCTGTAACTTCGAAACTTAATTTTATTACTTTATCATAGCTATATTTTGTTTCAAGTCTCTATTACCATATAAGTTATTGCTAGGTTATAGAACAACTGACTGGATTTGACCAAAAAATCTTTTTGACACCTATGAAGTAATATGAACTGAAAGGAGCTTAAATTAAAATAAACAATCATAAATGAGGAACTACTTTAAGTAATGTTCTTAAAATGATTAAAGAGATTTTTTGGACTAGATCAGGTTCAGCCCCCACAAAGGCCAAATCTGGCATGTAACCTGTATTGGTATAGCCTGTGAGCTAAGAATGGTTTTTACAGTTTTTAATGGATGAGGGGGAAAAAGGGTATTTTGTGCTATGTGAGAATTAAATAAAAGTCAAATTTCAGTGTCCGTAGTTTTATTTGAATACAGCCACACTCATTTGTTCATGTACTGTCTGTGGCCTTTTGGTGCTACGGTGGCAGAGTTGAGTAATTGCAGCAGAGAATGTATGATTCTTAAAGCCTGAAATGTTTACTATCTGCCCCTTTACAGAAAATGTTTGTTAGCCCCTAGCATAGATCATCATTTCACAATGTGCTGGGAATAATGTAGTTAAGTTTTTATTTGGTTTTGCTGGATCCTTCATGTCTGCCATATTGATGTTCTTGGTGAATTAAAGGGAAAATAAACTACTTAATAAATGCAATATTTTGACAATAGCTTTTAAAACAAGGTAATTCCATTGGAGATAACAAGAGGAAGACAACAAGAGGTCCTTTCTCCTTTAAAAAAAGAGATTAGTACAACATATTTAATTGTATATTCATAATCAACATACAAAAAAGATTAAAATTTTAATGTTTTTGTTTAATTACTATGTATTTTCTTGGGTTCTGTTCATTTTTCTTCTGTATTCTTTCCCCTTTTCATCAATTTTTAGAATGTCTTAGTATTCTAGCAGCTTTCAAAGGGGATCAGTGATGTTTTTGTTTTTAGGTGTCATTATGAACTTACAGAATTTTATATATTTATGTGTTTCAATCCATTGGAGTCATTATTCCTTTCAATCCTCAAATGGTCTCATCATTAGTCAGTGGGAGCCCTTTCTAATTGGTTCGTGTGTCCTTTTAACATGAACCTAGTATTCTTTGATAATGTGTTTGTTTATTCTTTGATAATGTGTCCAGCTTTTACGTTGTATATTTCCTTCCCTCAGCTTGCCATCAGCCATTTCTCTGAGGAACCTTGATTCTTTTTGTGGGAAATGGTTTTAACCTTTTTTGCTGTACTTACCAGTTTATCCGATGTCATATAAAACAACTTTAATTCACCTGTAGATATCTCCACATCTTGTATATCTGTGGGTGACTCATAAAGTATATTTGTATGTTGTTTTTGTTACAGTATTATTCTTAGGTGTAAAGAACTTACTTTTGTTGATGTTTTAACTTTGCAATTACTATAAACTCATTTTTAATAACTTAGTTGGTACATGTTTCTGAAATGGCATTATCTTAATATCTCTCTAGGGAACAGATGCTATACTGTCCACTATTGAGATAGGGAAGTGTCTTAAGGGTACAGTGGCACATATTTATGAATTTTTTCTCAATTACCTATACTCTCAGTGATTGCACACTTGTTTTTTCATATCTGACTAAATTTTGCTGTCAGAATTTTCTATATTCCTACAACCCATTATGTATATGAATGTGAATGTGTGCACTTATGTACTTAGACACACATAAACCTCTTACGATCATTTCTAGTTTTTTAAAGTTCTACTTCATCAAGAAAAGTAGTGAGCAAAAAGTGTTGAATTTATTTTGCTGTAGGGATTAGCATAGTATCTCTTCCTAAAAAGCAAGTCAGATAAAAAATGGAGAAATTATTTATTTATTTATT